CCTGTCTATTGGGTGAGATGTTCAATGTAGTAGCTCCAGTTGCCTAGTGGAGGTTTAATATCGTCCTCCTATTCAGTGAGGCAGGGGAGAAGAGGGAAAAAAGGGAAAAGAAAAAGCACCAGAAGGAAACCCTGGGATAGAAAGGCAGAAGGAGTTTTCTTTCTGCATTTGGGGTGAGATAATTCAGTCAGTGATGCAGGCATGGACAGGGCAGACTGGATCCTTCTGAGGCCATCTGATGCTGCTGTTGCCCTGCTGTCAATCAAAGTCCTGCAGTTAATAATAGTCACCCCAAAGGACAAAGGGCCACCCCTTTCTTAGAGTATTAACAAGCCATAAAATCCCAGTACACAGATCCACTCTGTGCCAAAGAGTGTCACCAAGAGTTGGACCTGAGCCCACTGCCATGCACCTGCTCTGGGGCTCCACCTACTCAGAGGGAGTTTCTCTCTCTCCCTTACTCCTTTCTGGACTCCACAGCAGCCCAAGCCAAGGGGGCTCTTGATCCTTTTCCCCATAAGAACTTTTCTCTCACTCAGAGCCCCAGCTCACCTTGAAAAACTCCTGGTGTGGTTATTCTGATCTCTAATGCCTGTGGGTTCAGTGAAGTTTTTTGTTTTTTTTTTTTTTTCCTTCCCTCCTTCTCAACCTCTTTTGTATTTCTAATGACTCTTCTCCATCTCTGTCTTTGTCAGCCTACCAGGTTTGTTTATTTTTCCTAGTCACTTAATCTGCTCCCTTTCTTCACCTTCACTAGATCTAATACTTTATATTTTGCTTAGTTGCTCACAACTCCAGTGTCATTATTTGTATCTGCTCTACCTAGTTACTCAGAATCTCAGTTGGAAGATGGACTGAACATGCAGACTATCTGTACAATGTCACCTTCCTCTTTCCAAAAATTTGTATTTGTATTATGTCTACCACAAGCAATATAATTTTCCTCATTAGTTCTTAATAAAGGAGCTCTGGTGGCACAGTATCTAAGGCATTTGACTGCTAACCTGAAGGTTAGTGGTTCAAACCCACCAGCCACTCCACAAAAGGAAGACTGGGCAATCTACTTCTAAAGATTTACCACCTTGGAAACCCAAAGGGGGTCACTGTGAGTCAGAATCAACTTGTCAGCAGTGAGTTTCATTTTTTTAGTTCTTAATAAGAAAGTTTTTGCAACAATTTTCTATTGTCTCTGTACTCTCACCTGAAAAGGATTTTACTTACCATAGCCTTATATGAAAACCTTTTTCATGAGAGTAGTATTACATAAGCAAAGGGATTTTTTTTTTCCTTCACTGTGATTACTTGCATCTAGAGTTATGTTATAAAATGATAAAGCATTTTAGACCTTTGATAATCTCTGTAATAGTAAATGAAGCTATTCAATATTTTATTATTGGAGTAGATTTTATCCTGGCACAATTTTCAAATCAGAAAATTATTTTGGTAGTGGTACAAGTAGTCATTTGAGCTAAAACAGACTGATGATTATATACACTGTAGAAGGTGTAGAAGGCCATTACAACTTGTGTTATGAATATTTTATCTTCATTTGAATTTTACTTAATCAGAAAACATTATGGTGTACTTTAATTGATACTAGTTGAGGACATCATACATCTCTTATATTTAGTTGTAGTATATGCTAGTTTATATCTGACTTTCCACCATTTTTATATTGAATAAGCAATTGCATATTGCAGAAAGAGCTTCAGAAGGACTGTTTGCCTTAAGGGATTGCTGTACTTAGAAGGCATAGTATCACTGAGCAAAGTCAGAGCTGATTTTTTATATAAGGTTTTGGACAGCCTGGTGTCCAGGGATTGGTGGATTTTTAGTTGCAGGTATATTTAGGGACTGAAGAAATTTCAACTGTGTTAATGTGGTCACTGGAATAAGGCAGTTATTGACTGGTAGACTTTTAGGAGAATAGTCATTAGAGTGAGGCAATTGCTGATTGACTGTTGTCTAGAAGCATGAAATTGCCACTGACTAGATGGCTTTCAAAAACCTGGGGCTGTCATTGACATTCTATCTTTCAGAAGCATGGCCACTAGAGTGAGACTATCACTGATTTTCAGGGCATGTGTACTGATTTGAAGCTACCTCTAATTAATGGTGATACTACTTTGAGGACTAAGGTGTAGCTAACTCAAACCACGGTATTTTCAATTGCCTCACATACATATGAAAGCTAGATGATGAATAAATAAGACTGAAACATTGATGCCTTTGAATCATGGTGTTGGTGAAGAATATTGAATATACCATGGACTTCTAGAACAAAAATCTGTCTTGGAAGAAGTACAGCTGGAATGTTCCTTAGAAGGAGGATGGCAAGTCTGCCTCAAGTACTTTGCTCATGTTATCAGAAGGAATCAGTCCCTGAAGAAAGACATCATGCTTCAAAGAGCATCATTGAAAAAGACGAGCCTCAGTGAGATTGATTTACACAGTGGCTGCAACAATAGGCTGAAACATAGCAATGATTGTGAGGATGGTGCAGGACTGGACAGTGTTTCATTCTGTTATACACAGGGTTACTATGCATCAGAACCAACTCAACAGAATCTAACAATTTACTCATGACTTGGGACTCTGGCCAAGTCTTTTAATATGGAAAATAAGTACTTTTAATTCTCAGTGCCCTATTTTGGTCTTCTCTCAGCCAAATCTATGGGAGTGACCTTAAGAGATTGTTGAGATCTTTATTTGTGAAATGCAATTTCCACTGATGATGCCATTTAAGTGATTTAAGTGCCAATTACTGAGATAAAAGGTCATAACTGCTGAACAGTTATTAAATACAGGCTATGTCCTGTATTAAATGTTGTTGTTGTTGTTGTTGTTGTTATGTGCCATGGAGTTGGACCCAACTCATAGCTACCCCTCCTTGGGCTTCTGAGGCAGTATCACTATGGAAGTAGATTGCCCAACCTTCCTTCCGAGGAGTGGCTGATGGGTTTGAACCACCAATCTTCTGGTTAGCAGTCAAGTGCCTTAGGCACCATGCTACCAGAGCTCCTCCTGTATTCAATAGCTAATACATTTGGCAATCCTATCTGGGAGTCAACTTAGCATGCTTCTCACTTACCATACTCACCTACTAACCTATGAAAAACATGTCTTATTTATCCTAATGTATCTGTCTCCTGTTCATCTTTACTGTCCTTGTTTGAATTCAGACCCTCATGAATCTATCACTTGGATACTGAGGCTTCAGTCTGTTCAACTGTGTTCAACTTCCTAAATTTATTCTCTACATTGTGTTGCAATTTCCCTTGCTTAAAATCATTAATGTTGTTGCTTGGTGCCAACTCAGTTCCAATTCACAGTGACCCCATGTACAACAGAACACACAACCTGGTCCTGTGTCATTCGCACAATCTTTGCTATGTTTGTGCCTATTGTTGCAGCCACTGTGCCAATCCATCTCATTAAGAATCTTCCTCTTTTTCACTGAACCTCTACTTTACCAAGTATGATGTCCCCCAGGGACTGGTCCTTCTTGATAACATGTCCAAAGTAATCTCAGGAAAAAATTCCAAATTCCTTAGCATGTCCTTTTATTATTCGGCCTCTGCCCTTTACATAAGCTTCAACATCTGCCACTCTACTGCTCAATACTTCTATACTTAAGTTTCCACAAACATACCATACTATTACCTACCTGTACCTTTCCATATGCAGTTCCCTATTTGGAATGCTCATCTATCCACTGGAGAATGAATGTTATTCATACACTTGGCTAAGTCATTCTTGGAAAGCATTCTCAGCTCTCTCCAGGATACCTTGGTTAGATTACATTCCCTTTTATCATCCTGTGAAAATCTTTACAACACTCATGTATTGCAATATAATATTGTCATAACTTATCTAATTGCCTGCAATCACATTTTCACGTGCCATATTTTTACCAATTTGCTTCTCTCTTCAACTCCATCTCCTTCTCCACAATTTGTGACTTCTTGAAGAGAAGGCCTGTGACTCTTTTCAATACTAGTGTGCAGTATACTACTTGCCCCCACAGCTGGGATTTAAAAAAAGTTACTGAGATTTTTGTTTAGATTTACTTTCCATTATTTGTTCCCCAATGAAGTATGAAAGTGTTTGACACTAGAGAACACCAATTGAGGAAACTATTTATTTTACACCATAAATTGAAGCACCTTTAAAGATTTTGCTACAGGAGTTATATTAGTTAAACTTCTCATATATCTTTTTGTTGCCAATTAAAACAAAAACAATCATTTAATAGCTTCAACTTTGAAACATTTTTCCCACTTAATATACCTAAGATGACAGCTCGTAGTATGTGGCAGATAGAATTTCATAATCAATGATCGCAGAGTAGTTTAAAAAAATTCTAAGAACAGAATTACAAATTGGGTAGAAAAGCCCCTATTCATAGGAATTACAAGAACAAAGGAGGAAGAGAACAAACTTTTATTATTTTTTTCTTAATGAAATCCATGCACAAAGTTTGACATCATGTCAGGAAAAGGACAAACATCAGAGATTGAGAGGTAGTTTACAGTTTATCTTTTATTTGGTCCTTTTTCTCTAAAAATGTATAAATTCTTTAATCAGTTATTTCATGTTATTAAAATGTTATAAAAATATATTACTAGCTTATACAGTTTGGTATTCTTCTAGGGAGAAATACAGCATACATACCTACCCCAAGATGTTTATGATGATCATTCATAGCATCTAGTGTATACTGACACTGCTACAGGAGGAAAAAAAAAACCCTCTTATTTTACAAATGTATCCTGTTGTGGAATTCTTCATCTCAGGTTATGATTATTATTATTTTTTTTTAAAGTGAATGGATGCTTTCCTGATACTTATTACATAGTTTAGGCTTATCCTTAGAATTTAATATATGACAGGAACTAAATTATTATTATAATATTTTCATATCCATTTATTATTATCACTCAAGCATGTATTCTTTGATGAGCTTTGGTTTAAGGGTGTCACACTTGCGAATATATTTTCTAGGGGTTCTCCTCAATATGAATCTTATAATGATTAGTTAGTGATGACCTGTGATTGAAAAGTTTCCCACATGTGTTACATTCATATGGTTTCTCTCCAGTATGAATCCTCTGATGTGCAATACGTGATGAGCTTTGTCTAAAAGTTTTCCCACATGTGTTACATTCAAAGGGTTTCTCTCCTGTATGAATTCTCCGATGTTGAATAAGAGCTGAACTTTGGCCAAAAGATATTCCACATTCCTCACATCGGTAGGGTTTCTCTCCAGTGTGAATCCTCTGATGATTACTAAGTGATGAATTACACCTGAACGTTTTTCCACACTCATTACATTTATAGGGTCTTTCTCCAGTATGCATTCTCTGATGTTGAATGAGAGCTGAACTTTGTCTGAAAGCTTTTCCACATACTTTACATTTACATGGTTTCTCTCCAGTATGAATTCTCTCATGAATAATAAGTGTTGAGTGGGAACTTAATGCTTTACCACATTCATTACAATTATAAAACTTCTCACCAGTATGAATTATTCTATGTCTATTAAGTCGTGAAATAGAAGTGAAGCCTTTTCCACATTCATTACATCTGTAAGGTTTTTCTCCAGTGTGAATTCTCTCATGTTGGATAAGAGATGCACTCTGACTGAAGGCTCTCCCACATTCACTACATTTAAAAGGTTTCTCTCCAGTGTGAATTCTCTGGTGATATCGAAGAGATGAGCTAGACTTAAAGGTGTTGCCACATTCATTACATAAATAAGATTTCTTCCTGGGATGAATTCTCTGACATCCGGTAAGGGATGACTTCCTACCTGGATTATATTTACAGGGATTTTCTTGAGCATGGATTTTTTGATGTATAAAAAGGCCAGACCTTCGGCTGAAGGATTTACCACATTCTTTACATCTATAGCATTTCTCCACAGTATGGGTTCTCAGGTGTTTATAAAGGGATGTACTAAGAGTGAAGGCTTTCCCACATTCTTTACATACATAAGGTTTCTCTCCAGTATGAGTTATTTGATGCTGAATAAGAGCTGAACTTTGGCTGAAGGCTTTCAAACATTCTTTACATTTAAATAATTTTTCTCCAGTATGGTTTTTCAAATGTTTACGAAGGGAAGAATTGTTAGTGAAGGTTTTCTCACATATATTACATTTATAGCGTTTCTCTGTGTTGTTGATTTTTGGCTGGTTAAGCAAATCTGAGTTCTGTTTGAAGGCATTTGCTTGTGTTTCACATTTTGAGGGTGATTTTTCTCTAGTTACCATCTGTTGCCTAACAAGGCCTGACTTCAGGTTGAAGTTTTGGCCAAATTCAGTATTTTTATGGATTTTTTCTATAGTAAGGATTTTTTTGTGGGGGACTGAAATGATCTGAAATCCTTCCTTTTTATCATGCTGTTTCTTTAATCTGTCTTCATATATACAAGGTTTTTCTGATTTGAAGTCTCTTGGTCCACCCTTTTTGGATCTTTTTATTATCAGTCCCTGAAATGATGAATCTTGTGTTTGAGTTGATTTTGTGTTTTTTTGACTGTTCTCCCATCCTGGAAAAAAAGGAAACGAAGATGTTTCATGTGTAATCACAGTGTCTGGCTACTGAGACTAAATGTACAGAATCAATAAATATTGACATTTAAATAAGGTACGGCTATCTGGCCAGAAAATAGTAAGAAGGAAAAAATAGAAACGTTATGTAATATAGAAAAATACCTGATGAGAACTGAAATACTAGGGTGATCAAAAGTATAAAGCAAGCCCACTTCAAGAGGGTGAGCATGTAACACTGACCTGGAGAGTTAGCCAATGAAGAACGGAAAAAAAAACAGATAAATAGTGGAGTTTACATTGGGAAAGACACCCTAGGATCAGAGTCCAAAGTATGACGGATGATTAAAGTATCTTCATGACAATTTGTTTCTTTGTGTAATCAAGAAAATCTCTCCTCTTTTCCTGTATGCCTAATTCTTTTATATCCTCCAGATTCAGTTCCAAAATTAATCCTTCCAGAGTCCTTTCTTTATTGATTCTGAGCTTCCATAATCCACTCCCCTTATTATAGCACTAACCACAAATGAATCTCCCTTTCCTATTGTACTATGTCTGTTTTTAAAAGCAGACTATCATGCCCTATTGACCTACAGACTGATCCTCTTCAAGGCACCCAATTATATGTGAAACTTGTTTGTTTTGTTAACCTTCCTTAACTACAATATCTTTCTTTGAATAATATGAATAATACCAAATATTCTTAATTGATTATATATTGGCTTCATACATACACATACATGCCTACACACAATTTTCATTATCCATGATAGTTATGCTCTATAAATTTACCATGAACACTGAATTAGTAAATATAGAAATATTGTACATAGGGGAAATACAGGGTTATGTTCTACTGAGCCTCTGGTCATAATATTTTCATCAGCCAATCAAGGTGGTGCAGTACATAAGGCATTTAACTGCTAACGAGAAAGTTGGCAGTTCAAGCCCACCAGCTGCTCTGTGGAAGGAAGATAGGGCAATCAACTTCCATAAAGATTCATTGCCTTGGAAACCCAATGGGGGTTGCTATGAGTCAGAATTGATTCTTTGGCAGTGGGTTTTTTTTTTTTTAATTTAATATATGTTGTTCATTTATTAATACTGAACTCACACCCAAAAACACTATAATTCATGCCCAAATGAAGTTTATCTAATACACATATATTCTCCATAAGGAAAATCACAGCCTTCTTATAATGAACACTTCACAAAATCACCAACAAAATGCACAAAAATTTGAAAAATGTGGCACCAAACAGACCATGTAAAGGCCACCTGTTTACAGTATGAGAGTTAAAACAAGAAGGCAGAGAACTGCCTTGTTTGAACTCAGATGGGAACATGGATACAGGATGAGTCAACTTTTTTGCTGGTCTGTGCAGGTCTGCAAAAGTGTTACAAGTACTGCTTTGGGGTCACAAATAAATTTTATTGAGTTTTCAAACTCACAAATATAGTATCTGAAATGAACAAGAGGGAAAATGGTAAGAAGACTGCAGCAATGGCTTGAGAATAAACCACGTAAGACCTCCTAAGTCACGGTAAGGACTTCATTCTATGCATGATGGGAAGCCACAGGAGAATAATATGCTTACTCAAGTTGGCTACTGTATGGGGAAGAGATGCTGGCAGAGCACAAGTGAAAGCAAGGAGGAAAGACCACTTAGGAGGTTGGCTACTCCAACTAAAGAAGAAAGGTGGTGGTAACGCAGGTAAGTGCATCAGGACCTATCATGAAGGGAGAACTAACAAGTTTAGAGTTACTTATGGACCATATATGGTGCAGTGAGAGGAAAAATAAAAGTTAGGAATCACTGCATTCTTAGTCTGAAATGATGAATGCTGGTACAGGTCACTGAGAAGGGAGAAGACCTGGAAAAGCACAAATTTGAAAGGGTATTTCATTTCAGATTATGTTTGCTATGGCTGAGATATCTTAATAAATATTGAAGGCAGGTACTGAAATAATTGGTTGTATATTATTTTGGAGCTCAGGAAAGGTCAGAGCTACAGATAGGTATTTGGGAGTCATCACCATAAAGGTTTTATTTAAAGCCCAAGAACTGAAAGAAATCACTTGGGCACTACATTTAGAGGTCAAGGAAAGGAAGAAAATCAGGACAGTATGGTGTCCTAGAAACAATAGGAAGAAAACACCATGTTTTTACACAAATAATGCGTGTGTTATGTGTTTTTTTGCAAACCATGCAACCCTTATATGTTAATTCCCTGTGCATGCTATGTGTTTATATATGTGGACTTGATAGTTCTGTGGGCATGTTATTTGTGAAAATACAGTACTTCAGGAAGCAATGAGTGCCACAACTGTGGTGACTAAATTGAGGACTAACTTAAGCCTGATTGTAGCAAGATGAAGGTTGCTGGATTTGATAACAGTGCTTTCAGTGGAAGAGTAAGGAAGAAAGTCTACCTGCAGTGCCTGGAGGACAATGGGAGGAAAGATACTAGAAATATCAAGTATAGAAAGCCTTTTGAAAAGTGTTTTGAAAGGAATAAAGTAGTGGAACATGAGCAGTTTTTATTTTTAAATGGAAATAATTCCTGCTATAAGGGTCTATTATCAATTCTGGGTAACTCTTCCCAACTGTACTATAAACTAGTACCTGATTAGTGTTTCTCAAAGAAGTGGACATGACCAATATGCATTGCTGACCTCTTAACTGAACTGTTCCTTATGATCTATTTAAACTTGTGGCATAGTACCTAAGGCATTTGACTGCTAATCAGAAGGCTGGAGGTTCAAACCCACCAGCCACTCCTTGGAAGGAAGAGTGGGTAATCTAATTCTGTAGTGATACTGCCTCAGAAACCCAAGGAAGGATCACTGTGAGTCAGATCCAACTCAACCGCGGTGAGTTGTTTGGTTTTTTTTTTCTTCCTTTTTTTTTTTTGGTATAGGTCTACAAATTTGTACCTTGATGTGCAGATCAACCTTTGTTCCCTCCCAGAATTGATCCTGGACCTGAGCTACTTCATGAACAAGGTTAAGAGGTCCAAAGTTTAGAGATCAAAATGGTCTTACTAATGGCCAGATTCTCCTCCCCTGCTCTACAATACGCTGAGATTTTCTTCAATCTTCCTTTCTCCCTGGGTGATTTCATGCACACCCACACCTCCTACATAAATGACTATCCTGACTCTTCTCAAAATACTTTTCAGAGGTATTGCCAACTGCCTGCTAGAATTTCCATTTAAGTATCTCTCTTACACTTCAAGTTCAACCTGTCCATATCCGAACACAACACATTCCTTTTAAATTCTTTTTGGTTCTGGTAAGATGGTGGAATAGGCAGAAAGACTGCACAGACCCTCTTCAACAGAGAAAAGGGGACTCAATTAACATAGATAGAGAATATAATCTTGGAGCCCTGAGCTTTGAAGGGAAGGATATAGAAATGGACTAAACTCCAACTAGTAGAATTTGCATGAAAACACCAAAAAAGGAGACATACAGAGCTTCTGTCTATCAGCAATCCTGATGGCACAGACAGCTTGGATATTGCCAAGTGGTGTTAGGACCTAAGAATTAACACAAAAATCGGCCCTGCTAGCCAGGGACTGCATGGAGGACTGCACTGGTGGCTGGTGAATAAAAGGGGAAGCAGCGAAGACAAAGGCAGGCTGAACTGTGGACTTTGCCTGATCAGAGGGCGCAGCCATTTTGAATGCTTACAAACGGTTTGACCATTTTGGATATTTAAAGGGACAGCATTCTCCCAGATTCCAGGGACTTAAGAATAGGCTCCACTTGCCAGGAACTGCAAGGATGTGTCTGACTCCAATGACTGGAAAGGTGCAATATTCACCTTGTTACTCTTATAGCCCACACCTTCTTGGTGAATGGAGGAGTGGCCATCCTTCACTCCCACCTACCTGGGCTGGCACTAATTCCTTCCCAGTGTGTGTGCTCAGATGGAGCCTGGGTGCCCTGCCCTGCGCATATTTTTTTTTTTTTTCAGTTTGTTTTTGTCTGTTTTAAAATTATTATTTTCATTGTCCTTTTTATTATTATTCTTTATTCTTTCCTTCCCAGGTTCTAGTTTTCAGCTTTTTCTCTTTTCCCTTTTCCTGGTTCCCATTTTTCTCTTTCTTGTGGTTAACCCTGCTCCTTGTTTTTCTTTTTGCATTTTTTCCCATTTTTTTCTTCAGTATTCTCTTACACTACACCTTTTTTCTCTTATTGCCCTCTCCCCAGATATTACAGTTTTGTTTTTTTTTTTTCCCTCTTTCCTTTTCTTTTTCCCTTTTTGGTGATTGTTCCTGTGTGTTTATGTGGTGTGTTTTTTGTCCACTTGCTTTTACTTTTTTGATGGTTTTTCAATTGTTGTTTTTGTCTAACTGAGTGGGAAAGAGCAACCATGCCTATACAATGCAACCTCACCTGCACCTCCTGTAGCTCCACTTACTGAGAGCCACCACTTCCTTCTCCACCAACTAGCCAATGATAAATGACTACCAAGAAGAGCCTGACTCTCCCTTACTGCTCTTCATGAACATTTAACAGAGATCTAAATACAACAATGTCACAATGTCTCGGAGACAACAGACCACACAGTCCACACAAAGAAGCAATATAAAGTGGTAGAAACAAGGGAGCAGGAAAGAGACCCAGAACACATCCCTGAGGAAGAAGCAGCATTGGAACTCCCTGATAAGGAATTCAAAAGCATTATACGCAGGTATCTTCAAAGGACTGAGAGACAGATCAAGGCAAACACTGACAAAATTAAGGAAAACACAGACAAAACCCTAGAACAATTTCAGAAGAAAACACAAGAACAAAATGACAAAATAAATGAAAAATTAGAAATGATACAAAATTTACAGATAGAAATCCAGAAGATTAATACTAAATTATCAGAAATAGATAACACATTGAAAGGGCAAAAGAGCAGAACTGAATCCATGGAAGACAGAATTAATGAGATTGAAGACAAATACCTGAATACTTCTTTAGAAAGGGATCAATCAAAAA